TTCCTGACGCGATCGAGTACACAGCGACCGTCATAAATATGAATCAGATCACAAGCATCTGAATTTTGATCACGTGAGCATAGGGATGCTGGAACGGTCATAACTGTGAAAAACAGTCCTAAGTCACTATTTTCAGTGCCATTGTAACTTTGAAGGGTCACTAAATGAACTGTTGTAAGTCGAGGACTACCTGTAGCGGGGAGGACTATCGAGGTCTTCAAGAACAAATCAGACAGCCATTTGTCTGGGATGCAAGAAGGACTCCTGCCTTGGGCAGGCGGGGGTGGACTAGAAGAGCCCCAGGATTCTATGGTTTAGCAAGCCCCTGGTTTTGTCTACAATGAGACCACCACAGATGTTTGTTTTTTAAAAAAATACTTATTTATTAGCTTATAACATGGCATACAAAGAAAATACAAAAGTAAATAGGGAAAATAGGGAAGGGAAAAGGGAAAGGAAAGGGGAAAAAGAAAAAAAAAAAAGGCATTGACTCCCTTTGATGCAGTAGAATAAGGCATTAACACCCAACCTCAACTTTTTACTTTTACATAATCGTATTAACTAGCCATTTCTATAACAAACCTATCTAGTTGGTAAAACCCAACATCAAAGTTTCGGTTTTTTTCTACCTCAAGCACCAAGAAGGGCCGTCCAAATAGAAAAAAACGTATTGCCTCGGTGGCGCAGTGGTTAGAATGCAGTACTGCAGGCTAACTCTGCCAACTGGCAGCAGTTCGAGTCTCACCGGCTCAAGGTTGACTCAGCCTTCCTTCCTTCCGAGGTCGTTAAAATGAGGAGCCAGAGGCTGACTCTAAAAAAACAGCTGAGAGAGGGCTGAAAAGCACTATAAAGAGGTACACAAGTCTAAGTGCTATTGCTAGTGGGAAAGAAGGAAGAGCAATGGTGGCACAGTGGTTAGGATGCAGTACTTGCAGGTTAATTGCATTTGTACTTTGCTTGTTTCTTGAGATTTTTCTTTCTTCTCGACACTCAGGTTAAGTTAAGTGCCAGAGTCTGCTGGCCCTCCTGTTTGACCCATCCCCTACTTCCAGTGCAGCCTTGCGATCCAGTCCTGCTAACTGGGTTGCACAAGCCGGTAAGCCGGTTTAACTGGCAGCCAAACTGCCTTCCCACCTCTAGCCCAGCCGAGCTGTCGGAAGTGTTCCGTCTGCTTGTCACTGAGGGAGGGGTGGAATCAGACAACCCCTCCCAGCCCAAGAATTCCTTTTCCCTGCTTGCAAACCACAGAGGAATGGAATGGAGCAGGCGGTGGATGGGAAGTTGGCAGTCCCCAAGCAAGTATGGGGAGTTGGGAAGAGAGGGCTGGGCTCGGACGAAAGAAATTGCACCACGTTCCACCAATGGGCCTGCAACATGAACATGTCAAGGGAAGGAAATGGTGAATTTCCTCCTCTGGAAGATCAATAGGAAAGAGAGTAACCAATCCTTATCTTCTCTTTAACTGTCAGCTTTGGACTTCCTAACCTGATCCAACAGAGATGACACCATGGAAGACTCCAAGGGTTATTCCACTTCGGCTTCGGCTGTGATTTCTCCTCCCCACAAAGCAGCAAATTCTAATGTGAGATTAGATTAGATTAAATTCTAATCTAACCTGAGATCTCCTCTGTGCATCAAATGCGGTTCGCATGTGGAAATAAGCCACATTTCGTTTAAGGAGTAAGCAATGTAAGACTGAGTTCGGCCAACGAGCTGAGCCAAAAACGGAACCACAAAATGGCACCTTGGAGGATTGAACGAGTCCAGTTTTATGTCTCAAACCACTGCAGTCAAGAAAGCTCCAGCACACGGTAAAATTCAGCTTCCTATGCCCTCTGCTGGGGTCCTTTCCCCAAGCCACTTCTCCCGCCTACAAATCCATACCTGTTTGGGGCTTTCCAAGGGGAGAATGAAGCTGCAGGCATTCCTCAATTTACAACTGTCCATTTAATGAGAGTTTGACGTTATGATGGCTTATGGCCCATCCTTGAAGTTATCATCAGTGCACCCACCCTATGGTCTCACGATTGCAACTTGCTTTGGCGCAATTGTGATTTGCAACCTTCCCCGCTGCCTTCGGCCACGCAAATGGGGAAGCCGCATTCTCCTAACCACTGTGTGATTCACTTAACGCCCATGGTCAAAATCAGGTCTGGTCACGTGGCAACTTGTTTAAAGACCACATCGCTTGGCGACTGAAATTCCATTCCCAACAGGGGGGATAAGTCAAGGGCTGCTGCTCCTTGGAAGCAATAGTGCCAAGCTTCCATTCATCCCTATCCTTCACAAGAATGGGGAGGGGGAGGCAGTGGGGGAGGGGGCTTCCATTACAGACCACGGAGACTTTCAGAAGCCACCGCCCGGTTGGCTGAGCTCAGCCAACATGACAAATCTCAAATCTAGGATAACAAATTGCAAGGCTTAATTACGACAGTTACGGGATCAATCTATTTTATCAATTCTCACTTTCCACTGGAATACAAAGCATTCAAATGGATTGGCTTGGTATGACGCATGAAGTCACCAGGACACAAGAAAACCCAGCTGAGGTTAAAAGGAAGCATTGCTGTGCTGTATGTTAGGTTTTTACCCCCCCGTCAGGATGCATTGCACGTCGCCCCAGATGAGCAACATAGAAGTCTAAGGTAAGTAGGTAGGTGGATGGATATAGACAGAGAGATGGATAGACAGATAGATACAGGCAGATGACACGGACAGACATGGGTGGAAAGATGGACAGATGGACAGCTCTCTCTCTCTCACACACACACACATACAGGGGGGGGTAAGGGTGTGCGGCATACAGGTTTTAAATAATAAATAGATCACCAATGTACTGTATATCTAGGTAAGGGTGTGTGATGTGTGTGTTTCTGTGTTTGTAAATGGAATTTCTATATCTAGGAGGAGAACAGGAATGGCCTCACCTAATGTTGGGTGTAGCTCTTCCAATCATAGAATCATGGGTAGAAGGGACCTTAGAGGTCTTCTAGACCAATTTGTTGTCCAAGGCAAGAGTCCTCATATTATTCTGGACAAATGGTTGTCCAATCTTTTCTTGAAAACCTCCAGCCACGGCATTAACCTCAAGTATCATAGTTACAAATTTAACCTCTATTCCCATCTATTCCCAAGATTAGAATTATATAATTTTACACTGGTTACAGACAAATTGGAACATAAATTCCAAGCCCTCGAGGAATTGGAATTCGTAGTCATCCAGAAGAACATGACTTTTTGTTTTTGTTTTATTATTTTTAATGTTTATTATTTTTACAAATAACTCAAGGCGGTGAACATATCCAACATACCTTCCTCCTCCTATTTTCCCCACAACAAAAATCTGTGAGATGGGTTAAGAGAGAGTGACTGGCCCAAGTCAACCAGCCAGCTTTCAAGGTGGGACTAGAACTCACCGTCTCCTGGTGATTGGCCCAAAAGTCACCCAGTGGCTGCCAGGCCTAAGTGGGGACTAGAACTCACATTCTCTTGGTGACTGGCCCAAAATCACCCAGCTGGCTTTCATGCAGGACTAGAACTCATGGTCTCTCATTTTCAAGCCTGGTCTAAGCACTAAATCAAAACTTGCTTACTTCATCAGTCAGCAATTCAGGATGGTCAGAAAGAGAGGAATTTTTTTATGGATAGCTGGGAGTTCAAAGCCATCAGGTGTGGTAATGGCCAGTGGCTTTAGATAAGGAGAAAGTTTCCTTGAAGTTAAGCTTGGCCCTTGTCTCATTTCAAAGGCACTGCCTTTAGGCCTCTTGACCATGGGGCCAAAGGGATTTGCTATGGCATTCTGGTTTTTTTCCATTTCCCAGTCTAGCTCAGAAGCCTTCAGAAATGCTCCCGCACATTCACGGATGACAGCCATTGTTCTTCATGCAAGGTATATTAGATATTTAGGACAGGTCAGAAATAGGAAAGCAGCCACTGAGAACAAATTGAGGCCTTTGGGGCTATTTTTCTGAGTTTTTCTAAAAGTCGCAGTGAAACTGGTTGAAACAGGATTCCACTAGGACCATTGCTCTGATTCACCAAAATTCTTGAGATGTCCTCACCCTAAAGGTCTCTCCTCCTTTCCACATTTTCTTTCTTCTCTCAGGTGCTTTGCACTTACTGCTTGATACTTGGTTTAAGGCCTTCCTTAATTTTGCACAACACCTAGGAATTTATATGCACTTTGTACAGGTAGTCCTTGAGTTCATTTAGTGACCGTTCAAAGTTACAGCAGCACTGGAAAAAGTGGCTTACGGCTGTTTTTTCAGTTATAACCATTGCAGTATCCCAGTGATCACGTGATCAAAATTCCGACGCTTGGCAACTGACTCATATTTATGACGGTTGCAGGGCCCCAAGGTCATATGCTCCTTTTTTGCAATCTTCTGACAAGTAAAGACGGTGGAGAAGCCAGATACACTTAACAGCCGTGTGACTAACTTAACCACTGCAATGATTCACTTAAGAAAAGTCGTAAAGTGGAGCAAAAAAAGTCGTAAAGTGGAGCAAGAAAAGTTGTAAACTGGAGCATGAAAAGTCGTAAAGTGGAGCAAAACTCACTTAACAAATGTCTCAGCGAGCAACAGAAATTTTGGGCTCAATTGTAGTCGTAAGTCGAGGGCTACTCTTCTACACACGTATCCAACAAGTATAAATATAAAAACAGATTTAAAGTTAAGAAAATTAAAACATATTAAAAACATGGTTTTGGAAAGGTGGGAATATTTTATTTAGGAGGAAAAGAGAGAACAATTTAAGTGTCTAGTACAGGATACAGGATGTTCACATTTGAAGAGGTCTATAATCAAATAAGGCCAACTGTTTCTGGTTTTAAGGGGTGTTGGCATCTCTCACTTTAATGACTTCCTTTTTTCTTTCAGTACCGATCAGTGTTTTTCCAAGGCAACTCAACTTAAATGGATTCTTTTTAAAATGTGCATATTTATACTGGCACCCATTTTAAGTACATATTAAATCCCTGTAAACAAAACAGAAGGTTTAATTGAAAATGACCCAAATAAAGCACTACATAACAAGCTCACAATGCCAACACAGGTAACCATCGACTTACAATTGAAATCCAAATTTCTATTGCTAAGTGAGGCGGTTGTTCAGTGGGTTGTGTCTAATTGGACAACCTTTTTCTGCCATGGTTGTTAAGTGAATCACACGGCTCTTAAGTGAATCTGATTTCCATCATTGACTTTGCTTGTTGGAAGCCGGCTAGGTGATCGTGTGACACTCCCCACCCCCAGGGCTCTGCAGCCATCATAAATACATGCTGGTTGCCAAGCGCCTGAATTTTGATAACATGGCCGTGGGGATGCTGGATGGTTGTAATTTGAGGACCAGTCATAAGTCAGTTGTAGAAAAATCCAGAATTGAACCAATCTCAGTGGAGAGGCTTTGAATTCAGCAAGAATGAACAAAATCTCAGCCCAACAATGGGAACTCAATGCCAACTGGCCAGTCTCAAATGCCACCCTACCAACCAGGCATAACAGAGTAATAACAGGATAACAGTTCTGGAGGTCTTCTAGTCCACCCCCTGCTTGAACAGGACAAACGGCTGTACAGTCTCTTCTTAAAAGCCTCGTGATGGAGCATCCACAACTTCTGGTGGCAAGCTGTTCCACTGGTTAATTCTCACTGTTAAGAGGTTTCTCTTGACTTCCAAGTTGTTTCTCTCCTTGTCTAGTTTCCATACATTGCTTCTTATTTCTTCCCTCAGGTGCTTTAGAGAACAGATTGTCCCCCTCTTCTTTGTGGCAGCCTCTCAGATATTGGAACACTACTATCATGTCACCCCTGGTCCTTCCTTTTCACTAGACATGGAGCCAACACAGTCAGAGATGACGCTCTTGAAATCTGCGTAATTTTCTGCGTGCCTCCAACGTTTTCCAGCCTGTTTCAGCATCTTCCTTTCCTTCGCCTCCCCCGCCACACCAGCTGAAAAATTCAGCCGCCAGGACAGAAGCACCTGCCAAGCTGCCAGGCAGGGTGTATGTAGGTTGCTGCCTGCCAACAGGGAAACTGGAAATTCTGCCTCGCTTTAGTTAGAACAGGCTGTTCCCCCTCCCGGCTGCAAAGAGAGCCAAAGCGCGGCATTCTGGGAAACAGGTGTTCGGCTTCCCCGGCTAGGTGGGTGGTGGCTGCGCCTGGCTTGGAGAAGAGGAAAGAGAGACGTGGCAAGAGATGAGCAAAGCCACCCGGCTGGGCCAGCCTTTTCAGAGCTGATCTGGGCAGGGTGGCCCTGCCCCTCCTAGAATTCCTAAGCAGCATGGCACTTTTGGAGCTGGAAGGGGTCCCACCCCAGCTGGGAAAGGGGTGCCTCTCGCTCCGTCCTTGTGTTTTCTCAGCGGTTTTGCCACGTTTTTGTACGTGGCACAGTCAGAAATCATCCAGGACGGTTTGCGCCTTACGAGTCTGAGGTTCAAGCACAGGAGCCCTGATGGGGCAGTGGTTAGAATGCAGTATTGCAGGCTAGCTCTGCCCACTGTGGGGAGTTCGATACTAAGTAACCGGCTCAAGATTGACTCAGCCTTCCTTGGTGGGGATAATAAGGAGCCAGATTGTTGGGGGCAACAATCTCTCGTAAGCGGTTTACAGAGTCAGCCTGTTGGTCCTCAACAATCTGGGTCCAAATTTTACTGTCCTCGGGAGGATGGAAGGCTGAGTCAGCCTTGAGCCGGGGAGAATCAAACCGCTGGCAGTCGGCAGAATTGGCCTGCAGTACTGCATTCTAACCACTGTGCCACCACTATTAAAATGATCAAATGAAAACAAGCAGGTTCCATGCTTGGTGATTTAAATGCTTTTAACGATAGATGGATGAGCACATTGGACACTGCATCCCTAAAAAGTGTCCTCCTTCACGATACCAAAAAGTGTTGGAATGTTGTTTGTTTGTTTGTTAAATTTGCAGACATTTTTAATCGATCGGGGGAGGGGGCTGCTTTGGCTCCCCCATCCTTCCCCACACTCACCAATTGCTCCCCTGAGAGCACTTCCAGGAGACGCAGCAGCATGCGTCCATCTCGCAGGTCGCTGTACAGATCGCTGATGCGGCAGGTGACCCGGGCCAGGTGAGAGTTGACCCATTTGGTGAACGTCTTCTTCTGTACCGCTTCTCGTTCATCTGCAAGAGAAAGCCAGCGTTTTGAGGAACAAGGGCCTCACCACCACAATCTGAAGCTACCTTGGAGCTGTTGGCAAGGAAGGGCGAGCTGTTCATACTTTCCTGCAACTGCCAGTTAGGGGCCTAACTTCAATCTACAGCCATTGGCTAAGTTGCTTTAATGTCAGAGAAAGAAGGAAACATCAGCAGTACAGTATTATTTTTTTAAAAATGCACGTGCAGCTTTCGAGATGGAGCCAGAGGCATCCATAATGATGCAGAAAAGTCCAGATGGAAGGCTACAACACCTGCGGCTTTATTATGGACCAATAAAGGAGAATATTCGTAGCTTAGGGCTGAAATGAGGGGTCCTTGGCTCTCTCTGAGCGTGCATGTTTTCTTGCAGAGAGGTAACATCGTCAGTGGAAACCCCGCTCCCTTCTAGCCCTGATGCTGTTGCTTATCTCGGGTATTTGGATAATGCTGGACATTATTATCCAACATACGCTAGATGTTTGGATAAAGAAACATTGGTAAGAAAACAACCAAGCACAGAGAACACTATGTATATGCAGCATATGTAAGAAAAGGAGCATAGCTGCAATTGCTTATAGCCATAATTTATTTGATTTTTATCCCACCTTCATTACTTTATAAGTTAACTCAAGTTAACCTCCCTCTTCCTCTTTTTCCCTACAACAACAACCCTGTGAGGTGGGCTGAGCTGAGCTGAAAGACTGACATTGGCCCAGAGTCCCCCAACTGGTTTTCATGTCTAAAGCAGGACTAGAACTCACTACACCTCCTGGTGATTTGCCCAAAGGCACCAGCCAGCTTTCATTTCGTGATTTATGACAGGCTTTCCACTGATGACCATCACAGCACCCCCACAGTCACATGATCAAAATTTGGGCACTTGACAATTGGAATGTATTTACGAAAGTTACAGCCTTAAGTTATCTACTTGTTAAGCGAATCTGGCTTCCCCACGGATTAGGCTTGTTAGAACATCGCAAAAGGAGATCAAATGACCCCGGGGAAACCATCATAAATATCAGTCAGTTGCCAAGTGTCTGAATTTTGATCGTGTGAACATAGGGATGCTGCAACAGTCATAAGTGTGAAAAAAGTCACTTTTTTTCAGTGCCACTGTAACTTCAAATGGTCACTAAACAAACTGCTGTAAATCAAGGACTACCTGTACAATTAGACAAGGATGAAGAGATGGAAAAGATCTGGGAACTCACATAAATGACAGCCACTACTGAATTAGGATAAGAAAAAATGGGTTTCATTTATTTGTATGTATTTAAAGGAGGGATTTTTTTAAAAAAAAAAGGTGCTTTGACAAGGAGACAGTAACATGCAGCCAGCAGGTGTTCAAAGGTAACAGGAGAAGGCAAGGTAGCCAGCCCTTGTTTGAATTAAAGATTTTTTTTCTTAATTAAAATGGCTGCATTCTCTAATCATGGCATTAATCATAATCATGTTAATATCTTAATTTTTATACTGCAAGATAGCTTCCTAGCCACTCATGGCTGCCATTTCTGTCTTTTACTGCTTCTATGCTGTGCTTTTTAAATTGCTGTTTTCATTTTGAAAAGCTTAGCTGATAATTATAGAATGCTGTAATCCAAGGAAAAACTGTTTTCAGACAGGTGTCCTATGATCCGGAGGTGTTGTATTATGAATGCTACCTTTTGCCCCCTAAAATTAATAGCAGGCAATCAATCAATCAATACTTATATAAAGAGACAATATTATTATTGTAAAAGAACTTGATTACAGTTAAAAACCATAACTCATAATTTCATAAAATCAAGGAGAAAAGGGAAGGGGGAAAAAAAGGAAATTTAGTTGCAATTATCTTTAAATTATCATTTGAAGCCCAAATAAGATCAGGTATCTTACTTCCAAATTGGATCAAAAATACTTATGACCACAACTGGAACCAGAAGTTCTGTTCTTGTTAAATGAGTCACAGTTGATTTTATGACCTTTTGCCCTGGTTGTTAAGTGAATCAGGAGGTCATTAAACAAATCTGATTCCTCCTATTGACTTTGCTAGTTGGAAGCTAACAGGGAAGGTCACAAAAAGCGATCACATGACCCTGTTGTCAAATGCCCAAATTTTGACATGAGAACTCCTATCACTGTGTCTTTTAAAACTGATTTTTTACAGATTACAGATTAACAGAGTTGGAAGGGACCTTGTAGGTCATCTAGTCCAACCCCCTACCCAAGCGGGAGACCCTATACCGTTTCTAACAGGTGGCAGTCCAGTCTCTTCTTGAAAGCTTCCAGGGATGAAGCTCCCACAACTTCTGAAGGCAGCTTCTATTCCATTGGTTGATTGTTCTCCCTGTCAGAAAATTCCTCCTGATTTCCAGGTTGAATCTCTCCTTGTTTATTAATTAACAATGAATTCATAAGATGTTTACTTTCCCTGCCACTTTATACAGCCATTACAGATCTTCATGAGGTTCATGAGTTTGCATATGATGTCTTGTTTCATAAAAGCCTAGAAGGAGGTTTATTAAAAAAAAAATAAAAAGCTGCAGAATTTGTGTAAAATTCAGTCTATTTGATCCTGGTTGCAGAGAATACAGGCGGTCCTCAACTTACAACCATTCGTTTAGTGGCCATTTGAAGTTAAAACAGCACTGGAAAAAAGTGAGTTGCGACCATTTTTCACACTTATAACCGTTGCGGCATTCCCATGGTCACTTGCTTGGCAACTGACGCATATTTATGACAGTTGCAGTGTCTCAGTGTTGTGTGATCCCCTTTTGACAATCCAAGTCAATGGGGAACCAGATTCACTTAACAACCGGGTGACTAACTGAACAAGTACTTAATAACTGTGGCAAGAGAGGTCGTAAAACAAGGCAAAGCTCACTTCACAAACTTCCCACTTAACAATATAAATTTTGAGCTCCATTGTGGCCGTAAGTGTACCCCTTGCGAATAAACAGCACGCACGCTGCCCAAATTGCTCGTCGGTTGGCAGGTTACTACGCTGGGGGATGCAAAAGCAAATATTAGAAATGGCCTTGCCCATTCACAGGGCACAGTACCATACGTCCCTGTTTACATGTTCCCTCCAGTTTCTCAGAAAGCACCACCCTCTGTTGGCACCTGGATAATATGCAAATCGACCAGCATCAATGAGTGGGTTGGAAGGGAGATCATTGACAGGCAGAAGGATTCAGCTGCCTGGGCAATCTCTAATTTCTTATTCAAGAAATCTTCTGTCCTTTAAGATGACATGGAGTTCTCCCACCTGTTAGGTGCCAGGTAATGCCAGGTCTCATTGTCCCAGGTGACCGTCTAGCTGAACAGCTTTGATCTTAATTTTATTGCTCACAAGTTAAACTGTAAATAAGACGGTCTGCAGTTCGAATCGCTACTTTGCCATGAAATTTACAAGATGGGCAAGTCATTCTGCCCTCAGCCCCCCACCCACCTCTCCTCCAATCTACAATAAAGGGGGAGGGGTATCATTTTCTTATCCAAGATGTTTGTCCTCATAATGATTCATCCGTAATACAAAGAATGAACTTTCAACACATGAAAGGGCTACATAGAAGCCACATATTAATATTTACAAATGAAGTTGGCAACAGAGGGTTGCCAAAAAAAACCTTCAGTCAATCAGAATAGAGCTAGAAGGGACCTTGGAGGTCTTCTAGTCCAACCCCCTGCTCAGGGGTGGGATTCAAATTTTTTAACAACCGGTTCTGTGGGCGTGGCTTAGTTGGTGGGTGTGGCTTGGGGGTCATGTTATTGGCTGGGCGTGGCCAACTCAATATGACTCACATTGAGGCACGCATCTCCTTGCCTGGCCTCTTATGACTGTGGGGATGCTGCAACAGTCATAAGTGTGAAAAAGGGTCATAAGTCACTTTTTTCAGTGCCATTGTAACTTTGAACGGTCACTCCACACAAGCAAAGTGCCAGCAAAGGAGAGGAAAAAAACTCCAGAGAAGTTCCTGAGACGGGAAGTCTAGTCCTGCCAAGAATGTAATAAGGGTTAACGGAGAGGCAGTTTCTGTAAGCAACACCAGAATGTTTCCTTCCTGCTTTCCTTACAGGATTAGCCCAGTAATTTCTTCTAACAACCGGTTCTCTGAACTGCTTAGAATGTTAACAACCGGTTCTAGCGAATAGGTGCGAACCGGTAGAATCCCACCCCTGCCTCTGCTCAAGCAGGAAATCCAAATGGCTGACCAGTCTCTTCTTAAAAAACCTCCAGTGATGGAGCACCCACAACTTCTGTAGCAAGCCGTTCCACTGGTTAATTTTCCTCACCATTAGGAAGTTTCTCCTTAGTTCCAGGTTGCTTCTCTCCTTGATTAGTTTCCATCCATTGCTTCTTGTCCTGCCTTCTGGTGCTTTGGAAAATAAGTTGACCCCCTCTTCTTTGGGGTAGCCCCATAAATATTGGAAGATTGCTATCATGTCCCCCCTCCCCAGTCCTTCTTTTCTCTAAACTAGCCAAACCCAAGTCTTGCAACCGTTCTTTATAAGTTTTAGTCTCCAGGCTTTTAATCTTAGATGCTTTCTTTGCACTTTTTCCAAAGTCTCAACATCTTTTTTTGCAATGTGGTGACCAAAACCGGATGCAGTATTCCCTCCCAACTCAAGATATTTGATTAGAGTCAGTCCTCAACTTACAACCATTTACTTAGTGACTGAAGTTACAAAGGCACTGAAAAAAGTGATTTACAGCCAACCTTCCGCGCTTATGACCTTATGACCATCGCAGTGTCTCAGGGTCCAGTTGGTTGCAATTTGGGCACTTGGCAACCAGCAGGTATTTATGATGGTTGCAGCATCCCAGGGTCACGTTACCATTATTTCGTTTAGAGCAAGTGGGCAGCCGCATAAATTCTCTTATGTACAAAATAAAAGAAATACATTGCCATTTGCAACCTTGCCCGCTGGCTTCTGACAAGCAAAGCCAATTAGGACAGCCAGCGGGAGGTCACAAGTCATGGTCACGTGTCTCACTTAATGGC